GCGTTGCGAAGACGGCAGCCAGGCTGCAACCACCGATCGTAGATGAACTCACTACAAATGTTGACATAAACTGCAGAACCAATGCGATTTCATTCACAGGGCTAAATCTCGTGTCGATGATCTTGCTATAAACCGGACACGTCAGCGGGTGCGTTCTAAAGGTCTCGTTGCCAACAGTGACAGGTACAGTCTTCATCACCCTGGCTAAGCTAAACAGCCATATACCGCCGTGCATAATCACCCCACAGATCCCGGCGACGAAACGACCGAACTTGGCGTACTGCAACATTATTTCGCGTTCTTCGAACTTATTTATGATTTTCCAATCTTCTTCCATATGTCGTATTAATTTACGAATGTCGCCACTACGTTTCAAAAGCACCCAGTAATTTACCGAACCCATAACTCTGTGAAGCAACGGACCAACGACAAGCAATTTCAGTTTGATGTTGGCTTCTTCGAATAACACGAATAGTGCGCATGGTATCATTATACATGCTATCACGATCACGCAAATAAAAATGTGTAACAATACGAGTATCTTGTTTGAGCCGTTTATTTGTGACCATATACCAATTGGTTTTAGGAACCATCGATTCAGTTGAAGACTATAATCATTGTTACTCATAGAGCTAGTACCTGTGGATATATGTTTCGACTTCGTCATTGTTACTTTACGAAGGCTCCCGATATACTGTCGCGGTGGACGGTGCGCTTGCAAGAATTGTATATTCGTATATGCGCCTGCGTCAACTTCGAATGAAGTTTGGCAACTTCATATTAATGTTTTTTTTTCTGAGAAGCACGCTTGCACGTTCGATCAATAATCGTCTATAGCGTGTTTTTTATTCTGTCAGTTTGACAGGAAACCGTATATAAAGAAGGATATGCGAGTACATTTATGAAAGTACACTGAGAGGTTTTGTTACTATGTGAACAACGAACATTTTTTGCTGTAATAGCTAAAGTTTTGATGAACTTTGCTATTGCAAAAGGTTTTGCTACACGGAGAGAATTTTTTGTTAATTGAATTTTGAATTTTACCTTTTTTACTACAAATTTGGGACAACTTGGCAACCAAGGAATTTTTAAAATATACAAAAGACATTTTACGAACAACGTGATAAAAATTACCAAGCAGAGTGGTAAATTTTGAAAAATTATTGATATTTCTTAGATATACTTTAGTAAAATTAATCAAACATATTTTATATTGTAATGTAATAGATATTAATATTTTTTATTATGGTAGATATTAATCAGAATAGCTCGCATAAAATTCTTGGTGGTACATGTTGTCCCACAATTACCATGATTTCAGGGTAAATTTTAAGAGAAAATTCTCTCCTTGTATTATTGCAAAATTAATTAGTTTTTGCCTTTTTATCGTACAATAGAAATGTATAACATTTACTAAATAGACTACACTAAAGTTCTATCATAGTTTTACATGCAACAAAGGACGACTAAGAATCTGCGATGTAGATTGACTGCAAAATAATAGTTTGTAAAATAATCTTATGCAGTCAGCGATATACACTAAATGTTTAATTTGACGTATAAACTCTGTGACACCTTGTATATACTAGGCTGCCGTGTTATACGTTAAGTTAGCGGTCCAGCAGTTAGTAATTCCACGGCTGTCCGCTAAGTTGACGTAACACTTAATAGACTAGATATCGTGATGGTTCATTACTCCACTATCTCACAGTACTCGCACTTCCTCTAATACAGTATGAGTTATGTGCGCCAAGTACGTCAGTTTTATAAGTATGTATTATATATAAAGAATTAAATTTTATGATTTGTACAAGTGTTTTCTCAAGCTCTGTTGGCGTAATATCTGAGGTTACTATATTTATATAAAAATAGATTAAATCAACATTGTTTCGCCCAATATTTTGACGGGCGCGACACTTGGAGTTTTTTTTTTTACCTATTTATAAAAAGGTAATTTTTATGGTTCTAATAATAAAGGATATATCTCTTGAGATATCCTTTATTATTAGGACAAAATTAATTTTAAATGGCAATAAAATAAGAACATTGTAAAATATAGAAATTATATACAGATATGTGATAAAATTTAGAAATTTATATTGCATAAATCTTTGAAAATAATTTAATGGCCAACAATTATGTGTCATTCAAATATAATAATTAATCTCATTTATCTTGATTTAGAGGACATATTTATCCTACTTCTTATTCTGTACAAAATATATTTTTCACATTTTTAAACATGTTATGTTTCACATTGTTAATGTTCGTAAAAGATTTAAATATACCATGGAAGTTTTTATTACCTGAAACAACAATATGTTTGTTTCTACATATTATACAAATGATTACATATTTTGAGAACGATAAACATATTTCTTGATATTTTAAATCTCTTTTTTTTCTTTCAGTTAAACAAATGACTTATTGTTTTAAGGCAATAGATAACATTAAAATG